GAAACCCCATCTCTACTAAAAATACAAAATTAGTCGGGCGTGGTGGTGGGTGCCTGTAATCTCAGCTACTTGGGAAGCTGAGACAGGAGAATCACTTGAACCCGGGAAGCAGAGGTTGCAGTGAGCCAAAATTGTGCCACTGCACTCCAGCCTGGGTGACAGAGTGAGACTCTGTCTCATTTAAAAAAAAAAAAAAAAATTGTGTTGGAATAAGTGCATTTGGTCCTTGTGCTCAGAAATACATACTGAAGAGGAAGAACTGAGCAGCAACCTTGGGCCTTGGTGTCCCCATCTGGAAAAGGCAGATGGAAGTGGCTGGCTCTGGCCTACCCTGGGGTTCACCCAGCCAGTCTCTGTCAACTCAGGGGCTGCGGAATGATTCCCACAAAAACCACGGCTGCCTCAATAACACCACATCGGGAATCTCAGACAACCTTGCTTGTTAGGTTCATCCCCCGCACACCGTCACCCTGGCTGGACAGGGCTGGGGACCCAGAGACGGACCAGAGCTCCTGCCCTCGAGGCATGGCGGGCCTGGCCCTCCAGAGCCCTGGGGTACTCACGGCAGAACCTGAGGAAATCTGACTGTAGCTCCTTCCGGGCATTCAGGAACATTCTCCCCTTCTCCGTGCCCACCACGAAGGCGCTCTCATCGTGCACGGCGACACAGGCCACCTCGGCGTTCAGTTTGGACAGCGCTGAGCACTGTGGGAAGAGCAGGGTGTGTGAGTGGAAGGGCTCCCCACTCCAAACACCTCTAGTACCCACTTCGGGAGTGGGATGTGAGCTCCCAGCTGCCTGAGACCTCAGCAGAAGCTCCAGGGACAGACGGTCCCTCTACTGTTCTTGGTCTCAGATTCTGTAGTGCGACTGAATGAATGGCCCTCCGGGGATTGGCGATGGGGGGCTGGAGGAGGACAAGTGTCCTCTGCTCCTCCCTCCAAGGTCCTCCTCCTTGGGGTAAGCCCACCTTAGCCCCAGCCCCAGGGACAATGCCATGCTGCGTTCTCTTGGCCCCTCTCAAGTCCTGGATGAGGAGCGGGGGGGAAGAACGGCAGGAAAGGTGGGGATTGGACAGACTGGGGCTGTATTCTCACCTCGGCCGTTTCTGCTTTGGGACTTAAGCCAGTCATGTCCCTCCTCTGGGCTCCAGT